GTGTGTGTGTGTGTGTGTGTGTGTGTGTGTGTGTGTGTGTGTGTGCGTGCATGCGTGCGCGAAGCCAAGTGCTCTCCAGTTTGATGGCTCACTGTTATGACTCCCATTATGCTGATGGCTTTGGTTCTGTTCCAAGTTCTCTGGCTCTGTGTGTGTGTGTGTGTGTGTGGGTGTGTGTGTGTGTGTGGGTGTGTGTTCTTGTTTTGACTACAGAGTGAGGCCCATTTGCGCCATGGTTACTATCTAAGTGAGGTGAGGACCTCTTCAATGTCCTCACTTTATTTTCAGCTCTGCTGTGCTTTACTAGTTAGGTTTAGAGGTTTGGTGTGAATTAAGTTCTGGTTCAGGTTAGGGTTAACTATAGACCAGTAATGGTTAATTTTAAGGATAATGTCTGGGTTAGGCATAAATACAGTTACAAAAATGAATGGAAGTCAATACAAAGTCCTCAGTTTCATGCAAATACAAGGATGTGTGTGTGTGTGTGTGTGTGTGTTCTCTGCAACAGTGTTGTTAAGGATTGTTAAAGTCTGATGTCTACAGGTGTGGGGTTGAGAGGAGTGTAATTAATGAAAAAATTTTAATAATAGTTTATTTTCAGTCTTAAAGCAGACCTGCAGCTGACCTTCCTGTTGGATCTAAGTGATGTTCTCCCACAAGTTTGTTACAAACTGAAGACTGTAAACTGTTGGGCAGTGTTGCATGATGCATCAACTTATTTTTGTTATAAAAGTTGTGTTTTTGTCTTTAATTAGGGTTTTAAAAAGTTAGAAGTGACACTTCTGCACATATATTTTAGCTCCAAGTGTGTGTGCTCATATTGTAACAAAAAACAAAAGTTTCAGAAAGGTTAAACATCAAACTTCATCTTCTAGAGATGAAGCAACAAGAGCAAAAGTCTCAACAAGTCGTTAAACTTCTTCTTAATTGCGAACAAAAAGACAAACAGCGCAAGAAAAACTTAAATATCCATAAGCAAATCTGAAAAGTCATTCAGCAGCAGAGCTCAGCCGAGGAAAAAAGGCGGCTATAATAATAATAAAAAAAAATCAAAACAAAATGCTTCCCAATCCGTGACAGCCGGGGAGACAAATCCAATTATTTGTGTCTCATGTTGCAAATTTGTTCTAATGGTCGAAGTGAGAAAGTAAATAAACGCCTGTGAAGGGGAAACAAAAGAATGTGATTTCTAATTAACTTGAAAGAGRAACAGCAGGGCGACTTAGTAAACTCATCTTTCATCTGCTGCCTCAGACCACTCGTTTGTTTGTTGCACAATGTTGTCTTCAGGAGTGGGGGGGGGGGTCTGTACAGCTTCCCTCCAAATGAAATGTCAACAAACTTAACGCTGCAGAAGGAACGAGGCGTTTTCCAGCGTTTTGTCGATTTTATTGTTCATTAAGCTTCGCTCCCCCCCACCCAATCCTCCCTCGCTCGTTCCGTTTGCACCATCTCTGGCTTTGAAGATCACACGACGAGGCTGAGGCAATAATTAGGTTTGTGCAATCACRACGAGCATAATGAGAGAATTCAGGAGTTTGTCTTGGCCCTATCTCCAACTCTCCACGCTCCTCCAGGAGGCCAACAACCGTCAATCTCTGCCGTTTACCCGGCGCCGCGCCGCGCYGCTCCACGACGCCACGAGATCACATCACAGCCGGATGCTGCGCTGCGTCCTACAACAAACTCCGCTGATGGAGAGGCCAGATATGCTAATGCTCTGCCCCGAAGAGATCAAACACAGAGGAGATAACGAAACAACCAAAGAGACGAAAGTCGAGAGAAAACAAAAAGAGACGAGAAAGTCGAGAGAAAACAAAGAACGAGTTGAAGAGATAAACTGTTTAAAGGACATAAAGGATGGAAAATAAAGTTAGGATCAACAGTTTGGCAAAACATCTAAGTTCTGTGGACAGAGACTGACTCGAGGTTTAAAAAGGGGCGGGGCATAAACAGGAGTGTTAAAATTTCGGTGTTAAACTTTTGGGTGTTGATTTAACACCCCCTAATGTCATGTTAACACTTTCTGAGTAAACTGACACCTAGTGTTGGTGTTAATTCACAGTGTTGATTTCCTCAGTGTTGTCTCAACACTGGACGGGATGGTGTTAATTAAGCYCCGCCCACTTTTAAGTCTTAAATGACACCATGCAGTGTTGAAAGAAGCATTCTGAAAAGCCCCGCCCTCTTCCACCTCATGTCAGACAGACCAGTGTTTTCTCAGCAAGGAATGCTGGGTAATCGTGTAGAAATGATGTGTTTGTATGTTTATGACTATTAAAGAAGTTCGTGAGAGTAAAAACTAGTTGTTAGTTTTCTTCTTCCGTTTCATCAAGTTGTTCAAATTGAAGTTTGTGTTATTGGCCATAAATTGACCATGATGACCATGAGTTGATGCTCTTTTTTTTCCCCTTCATGACGTCACAGATGCTAACAGTGGACAGGACAGGCAGGCTCACTCACATCTATGGAAAACAATAGTTTGACATGCAACGATGCAATAAATGTTAATTCTAAGTTTACAAACCAGCATTTCTCAATAAAATCCGAACTTATAGACATTTATGCAAAAGCAATTAAAAACACCTCTACATTGTTGTCAATTCTTTTGTTTATGCTTAATTATTTGGGGATTTACTTCTGTAAGCAGCTCCAAGGTATTTCAAAAACTATCTCCAACAGGTAAGATAGTCACTGTTCATGAGCTTTCAACTAAACCCAATTTTAAAAAATCTGAAGTTTCCCCTGGAGGAAAATGATGATAAAAATATGAAAGTGCAAACAGCTTCTATTCTCCATCTGAACTCTGTTTTAAAGACACCTCCAGCTGGCCGTCACTCAGCTGTCTGCTGGGATTAGACCAGCCTTTTATCTCCTCCCTCCTGCTGCACAAGGTTGCCTGCATCATAATCCCAGATTACAGAACAGGACGGTACTTGGAGGAAATCACACGGAGTGCAGCGTGGTGTTTGCTGCAGCAGTTTGATGCAGAGGTGTGTAAGTTAGAGGTGGAACACTTTCTCCATCTGATCCTGAATCCATGAGAAGACRACATATTTCAGCCTCTCCTGTGTTTGGTTTTACATCTTATAGGGGGTCAAAATAAAAATAAAATATAATTGAAAATAATTTTCCCCCTCCATTTTATTTGTCAGTGGCAATTTTGCAAGTGTGTTTTTCTGTTGATAAATCTGAAGATGTTTCATAAAAACAGACTTCTGAACGTTCATCTGATGTAAGATGTTTCAAGGTTGGAGTTAAAGAGACAAACGTAGACAGAAACACAGAAACCATGAGCCAAGTCTCTTGGTTGTGGGCGCACGTGTCAACCCTAATCCTGAMCTGAGCCTGCTGTCTGCCGCTCAGATGTTCAGGGTCAGGAAACAAGCAAAGCTCCAGCTACTTACCTGGGGAAGTGGATTGTGCCGAGCAGGCTGCCCAGGAACGAAAGGAGCACGGGTACCAGGGTGGACAACCAAACATGGGAAGTTACACAAAAAGATAAATGTTTAAAACGGCAAGGAGGAGGCCGAGGAATCATGAAGATGCTGCAGCTGGAGTCACTGTCGAGGGTAAGCCTGGTATGCCTGGAGTCAGAAACATTATAACTTAAATTCAAATGAATGGTTTTTACAGAAGAAACTCATATCCTGCCTTTCATGCAGCAGATTTAAACTAAAATAATCAAATACTGAGAAAAGAGGAGTTTTTAATTCCATCATATGTGATGCTGCAAGATCTGTTAGAGCTCCAATGTGCTACACTAAGCATTAGTTCAGTATCTGTTCTGTATTTTTTATACTTGACAATTGTCCCCGTGCAAATAAACAATAAAAACATAAAGAAATAAACTGGTCTGTCTCCAAATGTTAATGAGTTGTATATGGACATCTAATTATAATCTAATGACAGTTTCGTTAAAATGTGTCAACAATTTGATGAGGTATTTTGCTAACACTCAAACAATGGTGACACCAACAGTTAATGTCAAAATTTTTTAGGCAAAACTAATGTGCAAAGTGTTCAGATTACAAGGTAGTAATTACTCCCAGCTACTATCAATTTAGTTTTTTTTTTGTTATTCTTTGTAAAATTGACTGAATAAAAGTCATTTTTGTGTTTTTTGAGAACAGTTATCTGTGACGGCCATATTGAATTTGAGCTACTTGAAATGTGAATCAGTTGTAGCTGTACATCCAGTGGTGATTTCCTGAAAGTTTCATTAAAACTCGTGAAGTGGTTCGTAAGATATTTTGCTAACAGACATGCAAACATTTAATTGAACTGTAATGTTTATTTTGGGTGTAACGCCTGACCCCCGCCACCAGGGGGCGGTGTTGGTTTATTTTCATTTGTAKTTCGGTCTGCCTCGAGCCACCTGTGCTCGTGCTCACTCAGCCGGACGGTCGTGGATTCTTTGCTCAGGCGGAATTAAAAAGGTGATTTTATGATTCAGAAGCTTAGATAGTTTTARTAACTAACATAAATAAAGTGTCCGCTTGTGTTTATGTGTTTTTAATCATCTTTACCTTCCGGTTAGTTTCAAAATAAACAAGTTTTCAATATTTGCTCGATTATTTCGCGAAAACGTGAATTTATCGTCTTGTGTTTTGAATTTTAGGACATAAACTGCGTATTTATGTTTTTTTATTATTACAAACTTGATATTTAGACTCTAAAAACTCCTTTATATAAAATAGTACAGGTGGAATATTTAATAATTAGCTAATTTGCACACCTGTTTTTTTAGCTCAAGTTTCTGCTCGTTTTCTGTCAAACTTAAAAATGTGTTTGTGCTTATGTKCAATATACTAAAAACAAATCTCATGCGTATTGTGGAAACTTTAATGTTACATTTCTGTTCTCACTTTTAGACAGCAGGTGTGTCTTTTTAACAGCTGGATGGATTTTAATGAAACTTTCAGGAAGTAATCACTGGATGCACCTGTACAGCTCTTTAACCTGACTCAAGATGGCCGCCACAGATAATTGACATTATCAAACACCAACTAACAGGCTGTTGCTGTTATTTAGCTTGAGTTAAACTAAAAGTTTCTGTTTGTCTCCTCAGACTTCAGCCTCTCCTCTCGTCAGGAAACCAGCGCAGCAGCATGGACTTCTGCACGCCTCAGCCCCCGCGTCGTCACAACCCCGTGGACAGCATCTGCCGCAAACTGCAGACCATTCGGTGGCGTGGTGACCGGGAGCCCAACTCGCCCTTCCAGATCCCCAAGCTGTCCTCCAGCAGCTACGACAGCCCTCGCTGCGGCCTCAGGCACAACCTGGAGGCCGTCCTGAACAGYGCCGCCCTCCGCCGCGACGAGGGCGAGAGGGGGAAGGAGATGCCGAGCTCGGGCCCCCCCACGCCCTTCTCTGCCCCGGCTACCACCTACACCGTCACCAGCACTCTGGGAGAGAGAAGAGGTGCAGACAGGGGCGATTCCAGACGGGTCAGGATGTGGCAGAGCCACTGTTCCACACCCACCCCACAGTCCAAGGACTCCCCTTACTTTGCTTTTGCAGGGGGGCCTCATTCAGAGCGGGCCGACAGGACAAGCAGGAGCCCCCCTCTGTCCCGTACCTTCACTCCGAGCAACAGCACCTTCTCCTACAACGTCAACTTCTGCTCCGCCGACTCCACGGTCTCTGAGTGTGAGCTGCCGTACCCCGCTYTGGTTGTGAGGAGGCTGTCTGTGGGGGACGGAGGTAGGGGCCCACCTTTAAYCGCCTTTAAATGTGTGAAAAACTAACAAGGTTGATTTACAGAAGGATGTGGATACATGTTTAATCCTAAACTAATATTAAATCTGACAGCRGATTCCAAAAGAACATTACAAACCATACAAACTAACAGCAAAATCATGTGATGGTCTCAAGTATGAAGGAAGTTATTGATGTTTGTTTAGGTCAGGATGTCCAAAGTGTGGCCCCTGACTTCAGTTCAACAATTATACTAATTTACAGCAATAATTTACCTAAATCCTGGTTTTATTGATCAGAATTGACTAAATTTGGTTGTTTTCCCCAATTTAAACCTAGAAAATTGCAAAAAATAAATTTTCAATAAGGGAAACCTGCAAATTAATTAATCTAGATTAATTTACGCATCCATTTCCAGCAATAAATCTGACTATTTGTTTAATTAAAGTATTCAATGCGTAGTTTATTGTTGAGCAAGTAAAGGAAAAATATTTTTGGCCCTCAGGTTCTTCTGACTTTATGGTTTTGGTCCACGTGACAAAATGTTTGGACAGCTCCGTCTTAGCCGTGCCTAAAGGAGCTCGCATCATGTGCTTCGCTGCAGAGATCGGCTCAACGTTGTTGTTTTGAAAGTGAGTGCCGTGTCGTTGTTCCTTCAGGACCGCCGGGCGCCTCTGAAGATGGAAGGAACATGGCAGAAATCAGTCTGATCTGTGAGGAGAATCTGCTCGACACCATATTTCATGCCTGCGACACGCAGCGCAGAGGTACGCACACTCACACATGTCGCAGCTTAAATAAACAAATAACTCTAATATATCTCCTACGGCAAGTGCATTTACCTTAACTGATGAGCAGATACTGTATCTTATAACTCCTAACAGTGGGTAGATTTTTACGTGGTTTTTAAAGTTTGTCCCACTCTTCTTCCCATCGTTGCTTCAGTTCATTGAGTTTTTTCAGACGTTTGTCTCCTAAAGACCCTGGACTCTGATTGGACCGTTGCAGCAAGTTCGTTTTTCTGGTCTCCCATGATCCGCTCAGGTAGGCAAATGGCCAACTGAGGCCTGTAGAGCCCCAAATGAAGCTTATTTTCTTGGAGCGTTGCACAGTCTGACCTTCGGGGTGAATGCCAGGATGTTTTCTGTTTTTATTCATCGTTGAAAAGCAAATGGCGGTAAAAATAAATAAATAAAAACAGGTCAAGTTTTCATCTAAAAAGTCTTTGAGCTGTTTTTTGTTTCATTAGGTCGTTTTGTTTTTGTACTGTTAATTTAATTACTTTTCAGCGATTTTTGGTCAAACTGTTTACAGAAACAGCTGTGCTGATCAACATGAATGTTGGCAGGAATGTAGATGAGTCCGACCTACGCTGAGCCAGTCAACGGTTTTACAATAGACCCCATATTTGAGGAGGGGGCTCCATCTAAAACGGAGGTGTCTGGACTTACAAAAATGCGTATAACTCAAACTATTTAACATAGGCAGTTCTCTAGAGTGCGACCTGATTTTAGTGTTGATTTAATATTTATTAGATGGCGTTTCAATCATTAGAATTTATCAGTGAAACATTGGGCCTCATGCAAGAACCGTTCGTACGCACAGATTTGTTCTTAAGTTGTGCGTACGAGTGATTTAGGAGAATTTGTGGCATTCANAATAAATTCAGATACAAAACCTTAAATTCAAATTCAAACAATTAAATTAAGTTTCAATTTAGTGAAACTTATTTTTAAACCAATGCATTCAATTTCAAATTATGAACATTCAGATTCAATGTCAGCAATTCAAATTCAGTTCCTGTTGGCACAAGTTTTATCCCATATTCATACCCTGTGAATTGATTTTCACAAATTACAATGAAATCGGTCCAAGATAGATTAAAGTGATTTTATTACTCAGTTCACAGAGGGGACAGGTACTAACAAATATGAACACATTACAGCAGTTCTTACATCTTTCTACTTCCACTCGCTGCTTACTGAAAGAAAAATCACAACATCTCACTGCAGTACCTGAAGCCAGACCCGGCTCCAGGTGAATTTATTTTGGGGGGGGCGGGGGCGCTTTGGCTTATTTTGGGGGGACCTCGTAAATAGTCAATTAATTTAAAATAAATGCAATAAATACCCCCCCACACACACACACACACACAAATGACTTAGTGACATGTAAATGTGCATCAGTCACCAGAATATGCTGAGTAACTGTGGTCAGGTTAGCATCCTGTTAACATTCAGCGGAACGCCCGCATGCCGTTTTTTATTTGTTTTATTTTTGAAGTATCACATCTGTTTCCTGTTCCATTTGTGTCCGTGTGCAATGCATCAAACTTGACGTCTAGGCCCTCCTCTTTTGATTGACACCTCATTTGACCAACTGGGTTCAAGTTTCGGCTGTCTTGGGCCAATAGTTTATCAGTAGTGACCAACTTCTGGTTTTTGTCTTTCTAGCTTTGATTGACTGTAAAATCGGCCAATCAGCTCCGAGCTTCGTTCTGATGCCACAGCTGTGTAGCCAATCACCGTACCTTTCATTTAATGTATATATAGAGGGGGTGGGAACTTTGTTCAGGACGGAAGATGATAACACAGTGGAGGCGGCCATATTTCAGCAGTATTATATGCTAAGGAAAGCATCTAACGCTCACAGGAAAACGTTTTCCTCTGTTTTTAGCCAGTTGTTTGATGAAACCTGCTGATAAGATGAAAATATATTTGTTATTAAGTGTTTYGAGTGCTTCAAGACATGGAAGAGTGATTTTTGTGGCCAGGAGGAGTAAAATTATTTGGATAAAAATACTTCCGGTCGGCCATTTTGAATTGCTAATTTCGTCGTATTTTGAGGACAAATATGTATCAAATGTGAGTGAAAAACAAATATTTTATCACTGCTGGTGGTTTTATAAGCTGTGTGGAATGATAATAC